GAAGGTAGCACGAGATGAGGAACTGTGGACCTCCGTCTGCTGCTGCAGGTGGACACCATCCACAAGCAGAACAGCGATTAGTCATGCCTTAAGGTGTCGTCATTGCATAGCCGCATGATCAGTGATCAAGCCCAAAATTCGAGGCGGCAATCATGCTGACTCTGCATGCCTATAAAACTATTTGTTGCCCAATTGGAGAGGTGAGCAACGTTTAGGACCAAGAAGTTGGGCTTTTGAAAAGGGTTGTAAAATATCAGAGAGGTGCGAAGGGGAAGAAAGTGCCGTTACTCGCCTTCTGGGTGTGCAGTTCTCGTGTTTGTAAGTACTGGGCAGTTAGCATAGCATTTGAAACTCGAAATTAGGTGGCAGCAATTGTCAAGTTAAATAGAGTAGACGTGACACGCAATGACGCGTCAAACCTTACAGCCGCTTAGTTTAATAACAAGAGGGTGTCGATCTGTAAGTGTCGAAATAAAATCACTCATTAGCGTCATGCGGAGCCCATCGCATTACCGTATAGTCTGTTTGAGAGCTTTGCACCTCATTCCTTGATGATGGCTGCTGGAATGCCCATCGCGTTGTCTCTGCCGCTGGAGCGTCCCAGAAGTGATGCCAACTCATTGAGTAAAAGGGCTCATTGCTCAGATCTCCACTTGTATGTTCTTGGCGCTAGGCTTTTTGGAAGTTGGCTGAATGGAGCATTTAAAGATGCCATAATGACACTGAATGTGGCTATTCCTGTCTCGCGGCGCCTCATAATTGCACAAATTGAAAGCATAAATTTGGCAACAACATCCATCGCTCAAAGCATTTCTCACCCAGTAATTCTGAAGTGCCTCATCTTTGCCTTAAATAACGGTGTTGAAATGAATGTTGGACGCCCTCTTGACGGTGCGATTCAAATAAATGTAACACAAACTGTTAATGTGCTGTAACTCATCTTCAGGATAATCAAGGATGTCCAATGTGGACATGAAAGCTCAATTTCAGGCCACCTGACCGAGATCGTTCTGACATGGACAAGGCTTCTTGATTTTATGTCATTGCACCTCCAATCGACACCTCTGCCATGGCTTAATCATACCAGCTACCAGCACGCACTCCTCATGCACCTATGCAGCGTGCACAAAGATGACTCGCCCTCTCCTTAGCCTCCAAGACTGCAGTAGTCACTACAAAGTATGGCATGGCTGTCCAGAGTCCAGACACTGCATAAATCAGTCGACTGAGGCTAGGAGTTATCGATAAACCAGTTAGCTGGATAGGCATGGGAGGCCAACACATTCCAGACACAACGCAAATCCTCGGTGTAAATACGATTCCTGCATTCTACC